TTCAAGAAAAAAAATTAGACGATTTTGTTCTGTGTTCATCGTGGAAATTATTTTCGTTTTTTCTTCGAAATTGTTTGGTGTTGATAATGAAAATGAAATTATTTTTTGATGAAAGTAACGGAAACGTTTCCTGTTTTAATGCTGTAGAACTGAAAGGAAGTGCTAGAAATATGGTTCAAAACTGAACCGTTGAATGGACGAAACAAACGGGAATCCCGAAGGTTCTAAAAACGCAAGCATAAAATTTTATCAGCTTTTTTGGAACATAAAATTGAGCATTATGAATACATTTAGCTGAAGGCCACTCTTTTGACGAAAAGATAAAGAAAAGAGAAATCAGTCACTGAGTTTTCAACTTGTTACATTTTTAAATTTATCAAACAACCGCTTCGCTTGGAATTGATAAACGAAAGCCTTTTTTACTAATTAAAATTGAAATGTTCAAAAGGGAACAATAAATGAGATTCCTGCTTAGTTGCAGTTTTATATTCGATCTGAAAACGTTGACTTTCGTGTACTATTCCTGTTTGACAAAATGAGATTTGTTATAGCTTGTGCGTTTGTTTTGATTCTGGCCAAAGGATTGCATGGCTGTATTGAGATTCCTGGTTTTATATTAAGTAAAAATCATGAATCACGATACATTTTTTGCAATGAATCTTTTGATGTTCGTCATAATGAGTGTGATTATTCTTCTGTGAAAGTGCTAAAAATTCAGAACTGCTCTGCCAAATGGATCGACTTCCGATTAAATGTGTATCAAAATTTGCGCACATTGGACATTTCGTTTTCGAACTATACGAAGTTTGACCAAATATATTTAAATTTTTATTATTTGAAGCGGTTTAATGTGTCTTACAATAATTTAACGGAAGTACACGATAATCTATTTTTCAAAACAACACAGCTAAAGGAAGTGGATTTTTCGCACAACCAAATCAAGGAACTTCATAAATTGACATTTTTAATAGTGTCAAAGCTATCAATAATAAACGTTTCGCATAATCAAATCGAAGAAATAGATTCGGATGTATTTAGTGAACTTTCCGATTTAGAAGAGCTCGATCTAAGTGATAATAAAATTAGATGGATTTCATACTACGCTTTTCCAAAGAATTCCAAATTGAAAACACTCAACCTCAAAAATAATCCAATCCGACGGTTGGATTGCAGCATTACACGATTACTGAATGGCGTGACTTCAATAAACGTGTCGTTCGAAAATGTTACTGTGTTTGATTTATCTTGTGCGAACCCTATGGAATGGGCTGTGATTGAAAAAGAAATAATTTTCAAGAATGCAAACAACAAAAATGAGCTTCGATATCCCAAGATTGATTTCAAACATTTACGCGGTCTCTCTATCAGCGGAAATCAATTGCAGAACCCGCAAGGCATCGTAGAATTGTTGGGAGAATCGATTCAGTACCTGCATTTAGGTGGAAACATATTGGGCGAGGTGAATAAGACAGCATTTCAGGGTTTGAGCAATTTGATACGTTTATATATAAGTGATACAAGTCTCTCATTCACTGAATCCAATCCCTTCGAGAATCTTAACGAACTGACGGAACTTGATATTTCTTATAACAATTTAACAACACTGAATATCAGTTTACTTTCGAAATCTTTGAGTAATTTACGGACTTTTAATGGAGCTGGAAATCAATTTAATAACAGTGTAGAAATCATACACAGTCTCGGATCAAATCTGGAACACTTGGACCTTTCTCAAAATATCATCGGAACATTGAATCGCAGCACATTTGAACATCTTTGGAATTTGACTGCGTTAAATTTGTCAGACACACATTTGGAACATTTCGATGTGAAATTACATGAAGTTCGAAAGTTAGACATTTCACGAAACCAATTGAAGCAATTGAATGCGTCTTTACTGAGGCATACTTCAAAAAAGTTATGGCTCTTTCACGCAGCCGATAACAATTTTGAAAATACAGCTGAAATCATACGAAGTTTGGGAATTTATATAGAAAGTCTGGATCTTTCTGGAAATTATGTGGGAAAATTGGACGAAACTACATTTAAACAGCCTTCACTTATTTGGCTCTCGCTTCGACGCACCAATTTATCGATTCCTGATGTTAAACCCTTCGAAGCTTTCAAAGCTAAGTTGGTGTACCTTGATATTTCCTGCAACAATTTAACAAGATTGAACTTCTTCACATCAGATGTTTTCTCACATTTAAAAAAAATTAACTTGAGCGAGAACCAACTGACGCAACTAGACGGTCTTACCGAAGATTCATATCCACAACTCACTGAATTGGACATCACGAATAACCAAATGAATTGCACATACCCATCCATGTTCAGAGAACAATGGGAAAAAATAGATATAATCGGAGATCCGTGCCAATTTGAAAACATTGAAACTCAAAACCAAACTGACACCAGCTTGGGAAATACTTCAATAAAAAATATTACAGAAAGCGCAACGATAACTACTTTTCAAATTGAAAATGATAGCGAAGCTCAAACCAAGTTCACAATTCCTCCATCTGTGCCAAGTTCTTCTTCTGTTGTTCCGTATGTTGTTTCGATCGGTTGGTCTGCTCTAATCATCATCAATATTGTAGCCGTCGTTGTCTTCCTTCGTCGGAAGTCATCTTCGAAAAGCAGCGAACAAATGCAGGTTTCTTACCGCCGAAATGACAATGGCGAAGAGCTACAGCCAGAACCACAACATGAGCTACATGAAGAGTTAAATCCGGAAGATCACATTTACGAGGAAATCGAAGAACGAGAACGCCTTTATGACCACCTAGAATTTGGAGTCCGTCCCATGCCAATATCAACTGAAAATCAACACTATCACAACTTCACATTGGCCAATCGGGATCGGGGAACTCAACCTCAAAACGTAATTTACATTTCATGCGTAAACAACTCAAAATTCAAACAGAATGCACTGACAATTTTTACACTCTATCTTTTTCAGATTTGAGGAAATCGAGGTTTCTCCATCGGAGAATCTCCAAGCTTAGACGGGAAACATGAAATTCTTTCAATTTACAACAAATAAACACACCATAGTGTGATGACTTGTGGAATTTGTGTGATTTTGTGTCACGAGTGTGAGTTAATGAGTATTTATCGAGGTTGGCAGCTGCACACGGTCCGGAATAGATCACCGCATACTCACGTCGATAAACACTTGAGCCATGTCTGAGACCATCACCAAAACTGATGTCCGACTGATTCGAGCGACGAAAAAACAAATATAATTAATTACACACGCTGACAGTAGACCCTAGATCTAAATAAAGACTGCGAAACTGCGAAACAGACCTAAAAGTGCATTTTGTTCCATCGGTAGTTTTGTATCAACTATTTCTATACATACCTCGACATGCATCTGAATGAATTGATCGAATCGCGCCCTTATTTTGTGTTGGCTTCATTCCATTTTGCCAATTTTGTTTAAAGTTTTCAGCTCTGTTCCTCGACAAAAAGAAAACATGATTAAATAACACGATCCGACTGACATTGACAAAAGGACACTCATATAACTGATGAGATAATAAACGGAAACGTTTCTCATTTGGCTGCTTACAAAAAGTTCAATGGCGAAACCATCTAAAAATGTGAAAAAATCGTCGAATTTTTGTTCCGCAAAAATGATTGATCAATAATTGATCTCACGCACGAGAACGCCATAGATTTGCATAAGATTCGAAGCTCGTTGATGGCTTTTGAAAAGAGTTTTCGACGTTTTTTTTTAAATGTAAGACAACTTTTCAAAATGTCCCAAACTCAACTTAAGCATCTCCTCAATACATCAAATTTTCCTTTCAATAAATAATGTTCAAGAAAAAAAATTAGACGATTTTGTTCTGTGTTCATCGTGGAAA